ACTCTCTGCGCGTCGCGTGCGCACGTCTATGCGGAAGCAAGCCGGCGCAGGCGCATTGATTTATCGCTATCTTGTGAATGCTACTGAAAATGTTTGAATTGCATTCGTTATTTATTACTAATGCACCATTCCCTTGTCCTTTCGATAGAGCGTCGATATTAATTTGATATAAACCGAGCAGACACTTCCATAGAAAGCGTTTTATAATGTTACAAATAAGGTATTCACAGTCAGAATTCCAAACAATACTCGTACAGCAAAGCTTTTACAAAATTTGTATCAAAAGCGAATTTGACACATAGTGAAATCAATGCAACTACAATGTATTTAAACCAAAAGATTCAATGGATTGAAAAGCAAAGCGAAATCCGGTGGTAAAATACCCCGACACACGAACATTCGTGTGCTTGAGACCGCCCATTTCGCAATAGATGAGCTAACTAAATTAAAAAATAAAAGTTATTGTTAACAAGAGAAAGCAATTTCACCATTATAAATGTACATGTGATTCCATCGTTTGCTTGCAACCATTACTCGAAAGTATGAATTAAATTTTGTAAACGAGTTTAGATCTTAACGACTTTTGAGTAAGAGCTGTTGTCGCGTGAGATAGGTGCAGTTGCAAATGTACCGAATCTTAATGATAGCTCGGTAAGGATGACACGCGAAGTCGAATGATTTCGAACTTTTTAGTCGATATAAAACATTAGACTATGACAGAAAGAAACTCATGACTAGCTAATGACAAGATAACATTTCAAAGAAAAATTGATAAAGGCGCTTTGGTTCAAGATAACTAAAATAGTTTTGTAAAAAATCACAGTAAAATTATAGTTATAGAATCGATGGTAAAAAAGTATTTCCATTAATTATTAACTAAGTAATATTGATTTTGTTGAGCCACGACTGAAAAACATAAAAAACGAATGAAAGCTGACAAAGCTACACATGACATAAATGATTAATAAGCAACAATCAACGAATATTAGAGTTGAAACAATATGCAAAGCTTCCTAGAATGGCTCAATTAATGGAATAAAAGCAGGAAGCCGAGCAGAAGCGTTGAACGTTCTAACTAAACATATTTTATATCCATAGACCGCAGCGTGCAGGCCGGCGCGCGGCGCTACGTGCACATTGCCAAACGCAAGCGCTTAGACACACTGCATATAGAACTACATGTTACATTATGGTTTTAGGCGAATAGCAATTATTAGTGAGTTTACCATATTGAAACTAGAAGCATAAAATTATAAATTAAATTACTGCTGAATTGGAAAGTACACAATTACTTTAACAAGAATGAAACAGGTTGATGCAAAAATCGCGTCAATGTTAATGCATTTCTCCATCAAGCGGTCAGACCAAAAACATTAATCCAAATATCCCAAGCTATAGTTAACAAAGAAACAAACGTTAATTGCATGGAAGTTGACAAATACAAAGATGACGATCAGAAAATTATGTTTGCAGGCCCAGTTTTGAAAGTTAAAGCTAAAGTAACAATAAATAATATCGCTTCGACTGCGATACCTACTCCTACAGACTGTGACAGAAATGTTTACGATGTTGATTGTGACTTTATTTATAGATGCCAAAGATATAATTTACAAAAGCAACACTAAAGTGCCACAAATATTCCTTTACAAATCTAATATGAAGCACCATAAAATGATCGCGCACCATTTAAGGGAAATAATTTAAATTAAGAAATTGGTTACAGAAACCTCAATAAGAGAAGATTACACTGCGGCGCGCCATAATGTGAACAGGGTTAATTCTGATTGCGAGAGATGAGAAATTCATTCAAGGAGACAAATATCTTAAAAAATATATTAACTCAGAAAAGCGAATGATGCGTTCTTAATAAGGTAAATTTTTTTAACTTTAATATGAGACTATGAATTGTCCATTATTCAACCTACTCGTACAAGGTGATTTAATTTTTTGCAGATAGAGGCAAACATTTTTCATGACAGAAGTTTCGAATTTCCATCTACTACTTTCTCGAAGACAAAGTAAACATGAGGAGTAGAAGATAAACTTAATACAAAATATAAATATTTTTTAATTATTTCCAAAGCATTTCAAGAAGCTTTAGTTCAAGCACATTCCTCCCTAATTCATTGAAGCGTGCATGCAAACCTGCCTTCAATTCAGCGGAATGCTCTTGAAACAATCGTACCCACGTGAACAGATGAGCAGTGTTCAGATAAACGCAAGGCCGGAGCTGATAAGCTATCGATACAGTGCATGTTCCGTGATTTTATAATACATGTAATTGTTTGTTGTTATTATGTGTCTTGTAATACTTGTACAGTTCTAAGTGCTAAGGTCGAGATAAATTAACGTTGGTTAGCACGTGTTTTGGCTAGTATGCACTGCTTCACGGATTGTGGTTTACTGGTGCCAGAATGTGATGGATGTGTTTCTATGACTAGCTAGTGTTAAGCTTACTGTTTTGAGATATCAGACATGGGTGATTCAAGTGTAATGGTCTGCATTGTAACTCAGTTTATAGGTCTTTTCATATACGTTTTGCATTGTGCGAGCAGGGACTCCGTAACTCTTATACTTTGTTCATCAAGCTGCTTAAAGTACTTAACAAATACACAAGGTCTATAGCTATTTACTGGACCGAGACGACTCATGTACTGCGTTTAAATGTAACGTTTTTATTTAACGTTTCCATGTAGTAGCAATTTGTTGGTACGGTTTGGAAGTTACATTATTACTCATTGCTAAGAAAATTGTTGCGTACCCAAAATTTATTTGTTATGCAATATTTCAAAAAATCGAGTTGTAAAGTAAGATTTTAGGTGCAATGATGAATATAACATGTGAAGAATAACATGCAATAGTGGCAACTATCGAAAGTGATTTACAAAATACTTTATCAAAAGTGAATGTTAGTGTACGATGACGTCACGGATAAATTAAACCATGACGAGCTTGAAAGCAAAAGTTTGCCATTAACTGTTAAATACTAGGTGACGCTGTAGCCGCCCGTTCTACGTGCTGAATAAAAAAACCAATGACATTCACTTACAGCAATGCACACAAATAGATGTGCTGAAAAAATGTTCAGACAGCCGATGTTTTTCGACAGAACCATTTTTATAACTGCGCAATACTTAGATAATACTACACAAGGTCGCCACGCTGCTGTGCAGGTAAAGTCAGTGATTGTCCTCCGGTTTTAGGAACATTATGAGTAATTGCAGTCGCGGCCAAAAGTCAAGATTGTTCTCTAAACGGTGTTGCCACATTGTCTTAACAATAATGGCCACTTTGGACGGTAACATGTCATTCCGTTTATTGGAACGTGATCCATTCACAGCGCGACCAATATCAACGAAATGGAATCTGAAATTTCGATTTCTTTGCATGCTTGTTCTGGTTTAACAAGTAATACAGCTTTATATGTGTCAATAAAATAGCAATGGCTTAAGTATTTAATAAGCTGCTCAGATACGTTAAAATAGCAATATTAAACAGGCAAGTACTTAGTGAACCGCTGCGTAATGACAGTAATACGTAATATTTTCGTATTAGACGCCCACGAGGTGTCAGGTTCTCTTAGTTTTGGGAGATCTGTCCAAACCTAGCTCAGATTTCAAGCTGAAACTGACAGAAATTTTGATGTTTGCACAAAAGTAAACACAAATACTAGGTAATCACTTCAAGGTCCCATACCAAGGTTCATTCATAATCCAAATGATAACATTTGTGAAAAACCTTCGACCTTGACAGAAATGGAAGGCCAATGTGATATGCAATAACCAAGTAGTGCAAATAACATAAAAAACAAGAAGAAAGCTCAAAGGACCGAAAATTTAGGTTTCTGGTCCTATGATCCCCAAGGGATTCGTTCCAGATTTCATTCAGTATCTGGAAATACCTTCTATTTCTTTTGTTTGAATTCAATCTAATGAATAACAAGTTATGAATAAATTGTCTGTTATGCCTTATATGGTAATAATCTTCCAAGGCGGGGAAAGTTCAGATAGAAAACATTTCGTTCGGACGATTTCACGGAGCGGTTTTAAAGATAAAAAGATAAGTTATTTTAGAAGCCAACGATTAGTAAACAACAATACTGTTATAGCAGTGTAGTTTTATACTCGCAAATTGACCATTATATTAGACCTTGATTGGCCTGTAATGACTCGAACATTGGACAAATTGTTTAAGTCGAATGTGGTCCAAATACATCGTTATGGTCGCCGGTTGAGTTATTGCCATTATTTTTATTAATACATGTATATATAGTTTTAAATAATTCGGTATATGCTCGGCCCACAATAAACAATAATAAAGCAATGGAAGCTCTTGTTTGCAATTCAAAACTAGAAAGTTACTTTTAAATAAAATTAATTCGCTTTGTAAATATTTCACGAAGATCTTGAGCCTAATTTGAAGGTTCACAAAACACGCCAATCTTAAATGTTTATTTTTAAACAAAAGCAGGTTTTATCTCTGAAAAATATTTGCGTTTTTATTTTCAAGATTATTTTGTAAATTACCTACGCTTGAGCCTTATCTTAAGAGCTTGTATAAATTGTAACAAGTTTCGAGCAATATTAAAAGGCTGTTTATTCGGCCTTTTAACATTAAGACCGTGAATTTTTTACGTAGTTGTTATTGTAATTATTATGTTTATTTGTTTAGTGGATCAGATAAAATGACCAAAAAGTGTTCTCGTAATTTGCCCTGAGCCGATAAAACAAAAAGTAACAAAAGGTACTTACCAGGTCCAAATCGCAATCCAAAGGTTCACTGATCCGTCCACATGCACACAATAATAAAATCAAAATATTGCTATAAAATCAGTTTCATCCCAAAGGCAATGTAACGGAATTCCTCAAAAACACTGGTAACACTCCTGTCACTGTCAGATAATTTTCAAATTGAGAACACACACAATTTCAAAATATAGTTCCACGCCGAAGGTTGCGTTCGTAACGTGTTGGAGGATAAGTAGCGATCGTCGCACGTACGTCCGCTCAGTGCGGCGGCCCACGAGTCACTGAACTGCCGCACAGCCGCGCCCCCGTCAACCGGTGGATGCTCGCGTATATTTTTATGACTGCTCCAACTAGTGTTATCATTGTCAAACCCTGAAATGGTTGTGGATTTAAGAAATTGGGTCAAGCGGTTAGTGCTGCGGAACGAAAGCGCGGAGAAGACATTCAATCAATTGATTTAGGGGTTCCTCTCTTTCAACGAAAACACGACTGTCAAGACCAGAAAGGACCAATTATATAATGGGGCTATTATTTATAGTTTTCCCGAAGTGAGTTTTTGTTTGCCCCTTTTTCGTATTTATTTTTCTGTCTTACTATCTCATTGTGTTTTCTATTGCCCATGCCACTAAAAGCCTACCCTTGTATCTATTAACTTATAACTAACACACATAAAATGTTTCATATACCAACGTAACTATAGCTTCGGGAAAAAATCTTTTTAGTCGAAGTATCAAGCTTTCTTCGGTAAAGAGAAGCATTGTCTCCCCAAAGATTTAACCATCCTGTCTGAATCGTTCATTCATAACCTTCGCTGTATTTGTGAACGCACTTTCGAATCGCTGAGTACCATAAATCGCGATATTTACGCAGATTTATGAAACGTAATAACACCGATTAATGTCAACAACTGCTCAACGGATCGCAAAAACTGACGAGAAAATGCAAATGTCCTTAGTGGTCGGCAATCATTGTTGCAGTCAGTTTCAAACAGCCCGCAACTATATCATCAACCAAATTGTTAGCTTACACATACGTTCATAAAAAAGGGCACGTAATTTAGAAAATATGAGGCCTACAGCATTATGTATTTAAATTGATGTAAAAATAAAATTGAAGTTTTGTTACTACAGTCCTGAAAAAGAAAATATTTCTTCAATGAAATTGAAACAGCCAAACTAATTCAAATAAACACCAACTAATCTCAAACCAATTAAAATGAACACCACCCGATTCGTAGCGAGGACACCCGAGTGGCGCCGAAGAACATCGGCAATCAGCGATCTCGCCCGAACACTTCCGAAGTGGCCCGAACGTTCGCGGCCGCCAGCGAGGTCGCAGCGCGGGAAGCGCGTCATTTCAAGGTGAATTCTTTTCCCGCCAAACTGCGTCACACTGACTTTGTATTGTAGTGATACTATTAATTAAAAAAATAACAATATGCCGACTTAAAACAATTTGTGAAGTGATGTTCTTGGAATTGTGAGATATTAAAGTACTGGAATGAGTCTGTTTCCACTTAACAGCGGTTAATTATATTTCCCCAACAAATAACTTTGAGTAAACCCAAAGCCTATTGCACAAAGGAAACACAATGAATTATCTTTATGAAAACTCTAAGTACATAGGTACCTACTTTGTGTAGTTCACCAAGTAACAAGTTCAGGCGACCATGAGCCGGGGCCGGTAGTAGTTCAGACTGTCGTGACCTTTGCACCCACCCCTTCAGATATAAGTCCCGGTAGCGAGGCCGCGGTGTAACACCGAGCAAGGCCTATCGATCCCCGGTTTCATTCACCCTCGATCACAATAAGGTTATATTTAGTGCGGTCTTCAGCAACATCAAACATAAAGCTTTTTCAGTGATCAATTGCTGTTCCGATACATTTGTTATGGTTTCTATGAAGGGCATAAACTTCTGACGCTTCTTGTAAGTTTGCCTAGTGAGAAATAGTTGTTTGTTTCGTACAAATATAGAAAAGCTAAGAATAACGTTAATTCTGACTTCCACATAGGGACGTAGAGAAGTTTTCATTATTTATCATTGTAGCTTGAGCATCTTAAACACATTTGTTTACTTAAAAAAAAGAAATATTAAAGTTACGAAACAAACGTTTAAATATCGCCTTCTTTTTGGGTGACCGAAGGCTACAAACGAAAACAATGAGTGATTACGATTCTAATCAAATACGCAAAGGGCACAATCGAACCTTGCATATTATTATAAATCAAACAAGAGCAATATTGGCATGTTGTCTGTGCGTGACTGCAGATAAACATCTAATTCTCGTGCTTATCTTCTCCCCGACGCTGGCCATCATGTAGCCGAGGGTCGAACGAAGGTTGGAAGCGGCACAAACTTGCTGCCATGTCATTAAGACTTCTCAATTAAAAGAAAGTTAATGTTCAAAGTCATGAAAGGAATTTTAACTTTTGCAGATTTAATTAAACTTTTTGTTCAAAATGCTAATTCTAATAACAAGGATGAAAGAACGAAAAGTTATCCAGTGAATTACTTCGGCGATGGGAGCGATGGACCGATTGCTTTGGTCTTTTAAATTTACATTGAAGTGAATTCTTGATTTTTTTTCGGTCGATACAAAACTTTTCCTTGTTACGTGTCTTTACAAATTTATTATTTCCTAATTAAGTAAGGGATCGAATGATTTCCCCATTGATCTGATTTTAAATATCCTAAATCTTTCTAACCCAGAAATTTCTGACATCCTTGTTGATCAAGGGACCGTTTAAGACGGTCACTCCTAATTATATCAAAGTATTTTTACTTGGTTTGGAACAGTTTGACAAGGTTTTAATCAGGTATAGTATCCCATGTAGGTTCTAGAGGACACACGATTATCGTTCAGCCAAAATTAGATATGATCTGCCATGCCTGAAATAGTAGAAATAAAAACATTACAGGCAATGAAACGCGGTTTCTTAAAAGTAACAATAAAACATTGATTAATTAGTGTCAGGATGACCCTGTGCAATACCAACAATGCCTTTGCCGAATTTATTAAAAAAATCTACATCGCCGCCTCTAGAGGCCACGGCAGCGGCCTAGGCATTTTTTAGGCAAACGTATCAATTCAATTCACTCCATACAAGACTTTAAGGCTATTTATACATTAGTGTCTGCAGCAAATCAAACAACACTATATACTGAACCTTATTTATAAAGTAATAAAGTCCAAACTGTTTTAAAAATTATAGTAGTGTAGCTTATTGTGCTGGTCTAGTACGTGTTTACTGAACGTCAAGTTACAGGTACCCATGCAGTTGCGAATTTAATTACGAAAGTTTATCGTACTGTGAGCCTTGGCAAAGGTCGTGGCATACACCTGAGGCCTCAGTGAGGTCAACCTCATGTGCTATGGCCGATCAAATATTCATAAATTTGACAGCTATCGGCAGTTCCAGTGCCGTATATTAACGCCATGTCAATACTCGTTTAGATTTGTAAAATAACTTTTATTTGCAATACTATATCAATAAGACATTGCGGTTATATTTATGATCATTTGAATGATACAACTATAAGTACTAGAAACAATTTTGGCATCAATGAAAAAAGCATTTCGTGGTTCAATGACAATACAGATTAATAAAAAATATCACCAAAGATATTCTTTAAAAAACAAAAAACATTTCAACTGTATCATTTGAAAAAATAAGAAAAAAGAGGATCGTGCAAAAATAAAAAAACGCCGCTTAAAATCAACATATTGAGGAATATATTATAAACAAAATCGCAACTTTTTATGCAAAAAAGTTGATTTAATACATTTAGACACGACGAAATGCGTGAAGTATTGAAGAAACGCGCAAAATGTGCGTGTCGCAGACTAAAATGCGGAATTGCAATATAAATCGCACTGTGTACTTGTTTCATATAATTATATGAATCATAAATAATAATTATAGGCTTTGTTCTTTTGCTGAATTAGTCACCGGGTTTGTGAATAAATCTTACAAAAGTGATGATATAGTGATCACTAAATTGCAACGTTGTTGACTTATCTTCATGAAATACCAGACCTACTTACTAATAGGTATACATTATTTTATGTGAATGACAATTTTCTTATCAGTTTCTGTTTCTCATGTCAATTTTATTTGGTTCACCACGCACTCAATTCGATGCAGATTCTGATGCAGGTTTTGTCTTTCTTGTATTGTTTTATTAATTTAGATACTTTTCTGTCACTTAAATTTTTTACATTTAAATTTAAAAATAATTGACACAAAAAAATTATGAAACCCGTTTAGTTCTGAAAATCTATCTACTAGGTATTTTACTGAGTCACAATTCACTAAGATGTAATAAATAACGTATATCAAATTCTAAAAATAGATACAAATAAATAAATATTCGATGATAAGATGGTACACTACCGTCAGACAGGTTTTCGTGTACACAGTACGAGTGGAAAGCCACTTTATTGTCCTAGATCAGACTGGCTTTATCTTACAGATATTGATTTCATAGCTAGCTAGCTAGGCGACAGATAACTCACAATAGCGTTTCACAATTTTCACTTGCCTGACTTCACAATTTTGTTAAGTTAAACAAAAGATGGCAGAAAGCCTCGTCTCTACTTTATTACTTATTTCCTGAATAAAATAAATTCATGAAAATTCAATGAACTTAAGTTTCCCGCCATTTTGTTTAAACTGTCATGAATGTCAAATAGTGACGGTTAAATGTATCTCATTTAAAAAAGTAGTGAGTTCAAGCTAAAAGAGGTTGTATTACCATCATGAAATATTTTTAACATAAAGTGTTTCATGATTTGTCGATGCGTGCACAGGTGTCGGCGCCCTTGTTTTAACGACAAAGTCAATGCAACCTGTGCACATATCAACAGTTAGTCATCAACTCAGCCTAATGACCTCGTTCAGCAATTTATCGATCACGAATTCACGACTCTATTTTGTTAAGATTAATGACCAATCATTGTGCAGGCAGCCAGCACTTAATGCTATACGAACTACTAATTTTCTTTAAAAGAATTTAAACTTTAACGTTATATTTTAAAGTCGAAAATAAACTAAATATAAAACAAATTAAGAGTAGGTTGTTGTGCGTGTATAGGTACCTACGTGTAAAATATGTTCTACCAAGTTCTACGAAGTTATAAAGGTTATTATTCGGCATTAGATATAAACAATAAAACGTTTATTCATAAATAGTCGGACATCACGGCACCTTGCCGGCGGCATTGTAATCTGACATTGTTGTAAGTACCTCTGTTTCAAAATTGGGGAAAATTATGACCCTTCGAGTACCGTAACTAGGTTGGGGACCAGTTACTTGTCACGTGCCTCTTGATATTAACTGATTCATTGACAGAAATCACTTAACATGCGATATTTACTTTTACCAGACCTGTCTAATTAGTCTAAACGTCGAGCGAAAATTTACATGGATGTTTAGCTAATTAAGATCGTAGGTTAATTCCTATTGAGGTTTTAAACTTTTGAATTGTATCCAAGATTTAGCTTGTTGCCTGCTACAATATTATCACAACTGATGGAAAAATCTGTATAGATTCTTCTACCCTCTTCAAGGCATATAATACATCTCATAATGTGCAACTTTTTAACTGCACATTTAACGCGGTGGCTGGGCTATCGTGAGTTCGATTAACACGCAGAACAATTACTAGTATGATCCATAAATTATTGTTTCGGGTATAAGTGTGGTATGAAAGTGAAATCGTATGTTTATAAATGCACCTACGACAAAAAAAAACAAGAAAGGATTGCAAAGCTCAGCAAAACAAGAAAAAATCAAAGCACTTTTAATCAACAACAAAATAAGTCACTTGCATTTCATTTACGAGTCAGTACGTGTCATGTCACTGCTTACGACATGCTGACAAGCTTGTCCTCACACTCCTCCCCTAGGATTGCTTCATACTGTTTCAATTGAAGTTCGAGGACAGACAGTAATGCGTACTTAGTTTCCATTTGTTTAAGAGTAGATAACTTTTCATAGTTATAGAGAAATACATCTTCTGCAAAGATTAAGAAATGAATGAATTATGAATCTAGAACGGCAACGTTGATCTAGACTTCTAGAGGTTCAGAGGTCGTAGCCTCGACTGCTATAATAAGACAATACTTAGGGTCATTCCTAAGTCCTTAAGGAAAAAATTGTTGAATTGTTTTAGATTTCGTAATTATTTCTAGTAATATGTAGTTACTCTTATACACAATACGTGGCAATAGCTAGAACTTCCAAAATAATCATCATCATAATCAGCCTACTAGTCGGAAAAGGAGTCAGCATTCATAACGACGCATGGTCAAATAAAATTGACTATTTCAAACTTACAATTGATATGTTCAGGTTTCCTCACTAAGTATTCCTTCGACGTTTGTCAATGGTGTCTACATATACTTGGGAAGGTTTGACTGCACGGTTGGTACGATGGCTGGGCAACTGGCTGCCGTGCAACGTGTCGCGGGTTCGATTCCCGCACGGAACAACTCTTTGTGTGATCCACAAATTGTTGGTCCGGGTCTGGGTGTCATGTGTATGTGAAATTGTATGATTGTAACCGCACCCACGACACAGGAGAAAATCCTATGTAGGACAACGTTTGTTTGTTTTGTTTTTTTAAAAAAAAACAAAACAACAAGGAAAAAGTCACATCATTGATTGGTACTTACGGCGTAAGTGGATGCCATATCCTCTCGTCCACAAAAAACAATCACATTTTATAGAACGAATGTCTTCAAAAACAAAAGATAGCAGTTCCCGAAATCGGTGCATTTTAATGGTAAGTGAAGTGGGCAACTGGCCCCCCAGGACAATGAGCGAGCACGAGGGAGTAGGCTCAATGGCCAATGTCATCCGAACACTGTGTGAAACACTAGGAAGTGCAGACTTGGACTAACTACTCCGACCATCTAATTATATATCCTTGTTTGTTAAAATACTAAAGTCTAATGATATCGCTTTATAATAAAATTAGTACCTAATTATTCTTCGGACTTTGCAGAGATTTTAGCCAGTACACAGGGTGATCCTTCAAGAAGGTTCATGTAAGTGATGTAAAAAGGAGGCTGGAGGCCCAATCTTTCCCTCCCCCGATCCCTTAATCTCCAAAACCCTAATCCCTAAAAGGTCGGCAACGTACTCGTAACTCCTCCGGTGTCCATGGGCGGCGTGATTGCTTACCATCAGGTAATCCGACTGCTCGTTTGCCGACCTATTACATAAAAACGTACGTGACTATAATATTGGTCAAGACCTAAAGTTGAAGATGTAATATGAATTATGTAAGGCTTTTTAATAAGAAGAGAAGAGAGAAGTTTGAAAATCGTCAAATTACTTGTTCCTTCGTGGGCAAGAGAGAGTGTCAGACTCTTTCTGACTAAAAACCACGAGCCGAAGCTGCTGTACAATATTTCGCTTGCACCCGCAACTGCGGCTGAGGTTAGCTTAAGCCAGCCATTAAACGTTATATTCCAATTCTACAAGAACGTTCTAGAAGATGTCGTATGTACATATATATGTAGAGCAACGTTTTTTTATAAAAAAAGATCTCTATATTCTGAACGTATTTTTTCGGTTAAATAGTCTCAGAATATTTACCGCATCCCTTTTCAAATATGTGCACAGTACACAAACAAAGTAACATAGAGTGAGAGATAAGTTGCAAAACACATGTATCTCATGTAAAGCCATACCGTAACCGCAGCGCCACAGGCGAGCTGCGCCGGCGCACCGGCCGCTGATCTGCCGCATTTCTCCTTCTCACGGCTCCGCATGCCTTACGTAATGGCTCCTATTGGCTATTGGGATTGGATTATTTCTAACATTACTTTAGATTGCTTTACTTGTATCGATCTACTTATCTAAATATGATAACCGATCTTAATTAATGTTTCAAAGGTTACCTGCTGCACTCAGAGACATTTCATAATTGCTTTAACTATCAATTCAAAATCATTTACTCCAACAAAATCATAAACAGGCACAAAATAACGCAAAATAGAATAATAGTCTGTCAGCCTGTTCGCAAATGCTCGCTCCAAAGTGTAAATTCGAATGGACAAGAATGAGCGTTGGAGGTTCTTACTCCATCATTGCTCTTTTAAAATTATTCCTTAGTTACAAGCTAAGGAGTATTCATTAAACGACTCTGAGTGCGGCGGTTAATGTGATTTGAATTGTCAAATACTACAACGTAAGCATTTAGATCTGAGTATTTAGGTACAAGTATCACAGTGCACTAATAAATACATATTTGTATAATTTGCAAGTACCCTTAGTCAAGCGTGTTAGAAAAGAAAATAGTTAACTGACGTTTTAAAAAACTCCTAAGACTTCGTGCTTAGATGCGCCTGCGACCACTCGACCGAGACGGTTTTCAGTGTTTCGTCGTTAATCATGTCTTTTTTTCTATTTTATAATGTAATTATTATTTTATGCGATGAGGCGCCACTATCATGTATTTCGACCTGATGGTAAATAGCGCCGACTATGGTCGTAAGCAACAATGGAGGAGCCGCTAAAGTGTTGCCAAGGATGACGGATTGGGGAGGCGGCGACAATATAACGCTAACGTAGTTTCACGCCGGTTCTCTACAAGGCTGTGATATCACAACGATCGAACCGGCTCATTCGTGCGGTATTACTCTCCCACAATTATCATGCATTATGTATACATAGGTAAAAGTAAGGGCTTCTTTGATATAGAAATGTATGAAAGAAAACTGTTTTTTTATTGTTATTTTTCAAATATTTTACTAATATTTACAAACACACCACTAGACAAAAAAAAATTACACAACTCATTTACAAAAATAAAATGCATGGCTGTTTCTTTCCTTATTTCGTTTCTAACCGGCCGATTTAAAAGTAATTGAGGAACCTCTATATTTATCAGCGGACTTCTTGAAACTTAAGTATGCTATGAAGAAGTACCTATGTAACTATTTCAAGTAATCTACAAATTGATATGAACAAACATACTTTTATCTAACTCCACTAATGTGATATTGTAAGTCTAAAATCTTACTGAAATACAAAGGACCGCCAGCTGTGCTCGTCGATAGAAAGTAACCAACCAGTTGTTGTTATCACAGGAAAGTGGTCCTAAACAATAGTACACACTGATTATAATGGGGTGAACACTTCTCTGTATTAAATCCACGATCGTTTTCAATTAATTATTCTACATATTAAGTAGTAGTTGTATGAACATTGTAATTAGATACATTTTAATAATAGTGAAATGCTGAATCCTTTTGTCAGTGTTGTGTTGTGTTTAGTTTTTTCTTATCGTCCACAATGTTTCTATTCTACTAGTGCTTTCAAATAAGTCGAAAAATAAGTCTAGATGATTTTCTTTCGCCTTATTTTGTCATCTATAAACATACACATAACTAAATACTAGACTTACAAGTCTGACTTGACTATTTCAATAAACTTCCTCAATGAAAATGCAGTTTTCCGAGATCAAAGGTCAATGGAAAGCAGCCTTGGGAAAAACCTAATAGAAATAATCTGATGCTATAACCTCTCCTGTAGAATCATACAACCTGAAGAATAGCTTTCATCGATCAGAAGAAATCATCAATTAAAATTCAAATTAATCATCAATATAAGATTCTACAATGTTCTAATGAAAGAAATATGCAAATGTAAGCACAAGCGGCATAGTCATACTTTTATAATACCTAGTGTCTGCTAACTTTCACTCGGCACCCCTCTCCCCTCCCCCTCCCCCTCTCTAGTAGCCTCCCCCTCTGCAGATCTGTCCTACGTTACGTAACCGCTGCAATACTGTACAGCTGCTGACTATGGCCGCCGGCCGCCTTCGGAACAAAACCCTGACTTAAAGACTTTTCCATGATAGAAAATCGCCTTTAGAACTGGCCACCAAGCATGTCAAACGGTCTCATAATATCGTTTTCTAATATGGTAAGGATCGGTTACTAGAGACATTCTCACGAAACAACTACTAAGTCTTAGAATAAATCGCTAACATTTTTTCTCAGCACAAAAAGAAAATTGAAAATCCGCCGTAACGTATCTTTACCACGATAATTTCAAGGGATCCTTAGAAAAGTGTAAGGAAGCCAAGTTTTTCTTACGGCGCGGGAATCTTAGGCCGCGCATTAAAATCTAATCTGCATGGACTTTTCATAATCCGAACACAAAAACACTAACAATCACGCACACATGGGTACGGTGCAGCGGTGTCGCGTAGTTGTGCATGTGTGCGTTAGGTGCGCAAGAGCAAACTTACATAACATCCAGCGAGAGTGCATTCACTCTGTTGGCGAGGGGGCGGTGCTACGGCGAGGGGGGCGCGAGAGAAATGCATCGGTGCACTGCGCACGCGCTACGTGATATAATACGTGACGGATTATGTCCGAGATTTGCGAGATCTAATGATACAAGCTGATTATAATTTACATGTTTGTTTTAGCTCTGGTATGTGCTTCTATTGGAGATCGATCACGCGATCGTGTACTATTGTGCATGGACTCTTGTTTGAATACATTCTTAGATATTAAAAACATGAACGAGAATGAATGAATATGCCAATTTTTTTACCTTTTTCCCCAAAACTGAGCTTAAAAATTATTAGAAAGTATCGCTTAGTTATCGCAAATGCTTTAAAATCAAGATATTTATTACTTATTACAGATTCACTATTACTGAAATGAGTTCCAGTTTTAAAACTAGTCAAGTTGTAATTAAAATTAAGTAAAATAGATGCCATGTAGATATCATACAAACCTGTTTAAATGCATTACTATGAATTTAAATAGTTCTACACAAGTGAAATATGGGTAGTGACTTTAATTGGAATCTCACCCTATGATTATTCGTATAACTATTTCTACCGGCGGCTTCGCCCGAAGTACTAAGGAGACAATTACTCCACACTATAATCTATCTCTGTTCCAAATTTTATTCCGATCCCTTCAGTAGTTTTTACGTAAAAGGGTAACTAACATATCCAAACTTACAAACTTTCGCAATTATACATAATAAACTGCCGCCCCGGTTCTGCACGAGTGCAATACTGATTCTAAATTTCTTTACTATTTAACGGATTATTCATATGAACCTTCCTCTTCAAGCACCTCATCAAAATCCGTTGCGTCATTTTAAAGATTTAAGCATACATAGGGATAGAGAAAGTGACTTTGTTTTATACTTTGTAGAGAAGTTGGTTATAACCATTGAACCTTGATACACGTCAAGTTCGAAATATATCATCAAAAAAAAACCTATGTCTAGTGTTCGTTCTAATTGAAGACAGCAGAATTAAACTGAATTTCCTTAATCACAACGGACTTGAGAAACAACTACATAAATCTTTTGGAAGTTGCAAACAATAATGCGTTCTTATCTTAAATGGCAATTTTTCTTTTAATAAGTCTTTGAGAGCCATGTTTCGACAGGGCACGATCCAATTGATACTACAGCCTCACAGAATACCTTTGAGCCTCACGGAATAGATTTGCGTTCTTTCTCGTCGTATAAGTGTGCAGCCGGAGGGTCCCTCCATCTCTATTCCCCAGATTCCCAACAACCCACAACGGGCAACACACTTGTAACACCTTTTATGATGTGATGTCTCACTAGTCCCTTTTGCTTACCATCAGGTGACTCAAGACCTCGTTAGCCGACCTAATCCTTAAAATAAATTAGTGTCAATGTTTATTCATGTTATAAAATGGTCACATATATACATAACCACTAATGAGTCCTGAAGATCAGGTACACAAACGAAGGGTCCAACTCACTTTCCACCAGTTCTGTCATGATCTGGTGTCAGTCAGCACAATCAACAAGGGTGTTTCACCACAGCCAGTACCAGTACTACAGTACCTACTACTACCCGTTTCAAAGTATGTTTATGAAAACTTATCTGTTACATAGTGACTATCACGGCAATGTGAAAAATACATTAAGAATTTGAAAGGACGTTAATATTCAGCAGTAGATGTCCAAACCTAGGTGTCAGTCATTTTTTTTACCAGCGGACCGCCACGACATCGAAGGGGAAAATAACCCAATATTACCCTTTACTTTTCTAAATGTTTCTATCGTTATAACAAATCAAATAAGAATGATAGGAATCGGTCTAGCCATTCAACAAAACTCAAAATAGCTCAAAATCAAAAGAAGATTATATACACAAATTACATATACATATAGGTACTTCAGGAACTCAATTTTTGAATACTAACTATAGTAAGACATATTAAAAAAAACAACGTTATACTCACTTCCATTAACTTAGAAAAGCTCAACTAGTTTCGTACGACTACGCAACTCCGTCGCAACGGGCACGCTGCTCATGATTAAGGCTCCCTTGCTGACTTGAAACTAGTAGTACTTCACTTAGTCAACTAACACGTGACTATAAAACAAAGTCACTTTCTCTGACGCTCAGCTTAAATCTTAAAAAACTACGCTACGGGTTTGGTGCGATTTCTAATAAATAAAGTGATTAAAGAGGAAGATTTAAATGTATAATAACACTTATTAAATAGTGGAGATATTTAGTATCAGCAGCGCACGGGAGCATTACTGATAGTCGTTAGTTTTCGATTCAATAAATTCAGGAACTCGAATCAAAATAATTACAACACGCTAAGAACTCTCAGTCTGACTTCATAACACTCCCTGATAAATGTAGTTCCCGAGTCAGAAACTAACGCAACGTATTCAAGGATATCAACTGCATCATGCGCGTGCGCTGCTCAAAATTCAGAAACTGTCAGCTCGCCTGAAATAATGC